CATTTTCAAAGCTCACGTGTATCGAAAACGTATAAGTTTGTTGGCATTTTTATTATGACTGCATCAATTATCAGGCCAACGAATAATAAAATAAAAAAATATGGGACACTTTTGAGTTACTCTACAGGTAAAATGAATCAACAACAATACGTAAACCATTTCCTCTCATCAAGATGAACTGGGAAAGAACATGATTGAGGAGGGTTAATTCAATATAAGGATAAAATACTAACATTCAAAACAAATTTCTAGAATTGAGAAGAATTTGAAATCGCCAACAAACAATATGAGATTCAGAAAACGCTAAAACAATGAAACTTCTAAAAATATCGTTTATGCTAGCTTTCTGAATTTGTCCATTGATTTTTAAACTTGATCACCTGGAGGCTTTTTTTTTCTTTAAAAGAAAGGACGATTTGAAGAAAGACTATTGGAAAAAAAATTTGTGATAATGTAAATCGAAATGCTGAAAAAAAAGTAAAATTTCATTTTTCACTGTAGCTTCGATAGCGTATATCAAAAGCAAAAATGGAATGCACATTGAGCGTACGTTATGATTCAATAAAGGCTTGAACCTTCATGTTGTTTTTCGGTTCCTATGAGCGCCATTTTTTATTTAAAATTTCGAGCTATTGTATTTATTGAGAATATATTTTCCTACTGCTTGTACAGCGTGCATACCAAGTTTCATTGACATCCGTTGACCAGAATGGACTCTATGGGGACTAAAAGAGTAGCTTGAAATATAACAACCCTGTTAATGTGTATTTATTACGGTGAATGACCGAAATTGGTGGTTGCTGACTTCCACCGGTGAATGTTGACAATCACATAGTCGGTTTGGTAAATGTCCGAAATATACACTAGGTCTAGTTAAGTGCCTCTGCCTGGTATACATTTGCCCGGTATGCCCTACATCAATGTTTTCTTAAGCTCAAGTGCCACTGTCCAGTATGCATTTAACCCAGTATGCTCCAAGCACTAATCTTTCTCCTGATCTATCCTTTGCAGATATTAAAATATCGAATAAATATAATCTATCAACGAATAAATTAATATCAAATTGGATATAAAAATTATTTCGGACATCCACCAGAGCGACTATGGGATTATTTCATTTTATAACCGTCGCTGAACACGGCCCAATTTCATGGGTTTACGACTACTAATGTTCAACTCCGTAGCCTTGCAATTTTGAACCAATCCAGAAGACAAGGAAACTCCTGGATCAGTACCCCCAGAGGTATTCATTTGTTATGGGAACATGGAGGACTTTGAGACTCGACAGATTTAACGTGCAACAGTCACCATTTACCACATGGGGAGACTTTGGCCTGCCAGGATCGAACCCATGACCTCTTGGACATGGGCAAAGCGCCCTACCAACCAGGCATCCCGGCCCCTATGGGATTATTGACACTCATCGGTGAAAGTCATCATTCTCTTGATTTTGATCATTCACTGTAATATATGTTTATAAATATAATAATAAAAAATTAGCAGCGTGTTTGCGAACTTTGCCTCTGATACTTATGATCAACATCATCATCTTCAAACCAGCCACGACACAATTTTTGCGGATTTTTATATAAAATTAACTACTGGAGCTAAAAACTTTCTTTTTGAACGAATATCAATCTCGCCAATCCTTCGATTTTTTTTTTTTTTTTTTTTTTTTTTTTTTTTTTTTTTTTTTTTTTTTTGTCTCTTTAACTTTAATCTGATGAAAAGAGCGACTGAAGCGCGTATGAATCTTTAAATGATCTGAGTACTGTGGAAGTAGTTCTAAAGGTGTGCAAGCTATGTTACAAATGTATTTCTATTATGTTAAAATGATATGTAATAGAAGTTAAAGGAATTATTGAAAAAATAGCGCATCAAACAAAACAACGACATGAGTAAGCGTAGTGATCTGCAAGCAACGAACTGCCAGTTCTGGAGTTAGTGAACTGGGGAGTAATCCCTAGTAACAAAAATTAAGCATTTTTACATGATTATTTACTGGGATTTATTCAATTAAATTTCTTTTTATGCATTTTAATTTTAGGATTGTACGTTGCTTCAATATTATTTTAAATTTTTCTGCCTTGTTGTTCAAAAAAATTTGATTACATTTATTAATTGACGAAAATTTAGTTCTCAGAATTATTGAAAAACTTTTTTCTGGATTTTTTAGTTATTCACGTTGTTCGATTTTGTTTTTTTTGTCGACTAATTTTAAGTACATATTATAATCTAACGTCATGTCATATAGTCTGTTTTTTGTCATGTTGCTTAACTCTAATTAGTACTTATTAGAACTTTTTATTTAAAAGGGTTTTGCTGAAGAGATCAAAAACGCGAGGGTAAACTTTTTGAACAGAATCTTTTATATTTGTATATTATATGCATGATACAGTGGTAAGCAATACTGTTAGACTACTGTTCTGGTCCAATAATTGTGTTAAAATTCACTTGTAATAAGAGATAACGATAGCCATAATTTTTCATTAAATTTAGGTATGGCTCTGTGAGCTGAAACGAAAAGCGACTTAAGCTGTCATAAAATGTAGAACAAGTGAGGCTCCCCCTCCTTCAAATAACTCGCTTTGAACAAATTTTTAATTCAAGTCTGAATTGTTTTTATTATTGTAGAATTACGTAATAATGTGCTAGAATCATTCTGTAATAGATTTTAGTAACCATCTAGGAGGTTCCACTCATAAGCCATCGTAAATGATTACCGTAATTCTTTGCAAGAATATTTTATAGTGCGTTATATGTAACGAAGAAAACGATTTTCTAGATTTGAAATATGATCAACTGTAATTAAAATTAACCTAAAATAATTTTGATTGACTCAATACAAAGTAATAAATGAAAAATAATTTTACTCGTTAAAAAGACTTAAGACATTATAACAGTTTAAATAGGAAATGGTTTTTATCTCTCTTGTATTTAGTTTTTTTTGTATATCTTTTCAACGATTTCAACATAAATAACACACTATATAACGATTTCAACATCTGACAACATCGAATCTCACTCTCTTTCTCTCTCCGTCTCTTTATTTATGTATTTATATGTTTGTTACTTTGGACATCAATTCAAGCGTGAGCTTATAAAGTAAAAATCTCGAGAGAGATAAAGAAATTTTTCCACAACTAAAGATTAATCATTATTATTAGAAGCAAAATTAATAAGGAGATAAATTCCTGAAAAAAAGCTTAAAATTGACATAATTGTTGAGCAAAATGGAATTTCTTAAAAAAATTACAAATATAAAGAAAAAAAAAAAACACTGATGTTACAAAGAAAAATGGTTCTTTTAGTTGCATTGTGGTTGCATTTCAATAGGCTGCAAAAGGGCCGCATTATATTTTTTACTATAAGTTTAACAGTTAATAACTCTTAAACTAATTATTGAATGTTAATTTTTGTTATCCCATCGTACTTCCTATACATTTTTCTACACGCCTTCTTAATTTCAAGCTTCTAAGTCATGTAATTTTTGCACAGCAAAACAAAATGTAATGTAAAGTTGTAACGTAAAATGAAATTCAAAAGTAGCATAAACTTTAACTTTAGGGGCACTTAACTTTAGGGGTAAACTTTAGGGATACCCTAAAAAACGGCAGCTGTTGCGATTTTTTATTTATAAACACTAACCCAAAGAATAAATTTTTCAAAATATTTATTTTCTTCTAAAAAAATGAATTCTTTTTTTTTTTCTATTGTTTTCATTCAACATAATAAAATACACTAAATCAAATAAATGTGTCTCATTTCACATGCCATTATGTGATTCAATTGAATGACTAACATCACTTCTTCAGACATATTTATATTTTTAGCAATACAAAAATGCTATTGGCTATTTTCCGCAGGAGGTGTAATAATATGGCATTCCACTGAATAGTCAACTATGTGATATTTATAGATGTTACAGGACATATATAGAAAAATAAAATTTGTTACTGATTATTACATATTTCATGAACATATTACGTAATTGCTACACATTTACAAATGTAACTGGAAACATTTGGCACCGCTTTTTATTAAATTCACATAACTTTTACAACATAGTGCCTATTACACTGAATTTTAATTTTTAAGATCTTTTATTAATAAGTAAGGTATAAGACAAAATTAGGACCTTTTGAGGCCGGCCAGCGGCCAGTTGCAGTATTTTGAACTGTGGCAACTTCTTTTAAACATAATGGACACTTTTTTTCAAAAATTGAAAAATTTAAACTATTAAAAATGTTGATGTTAATAAAGTAAGGCATTTCAGTGCTTACGTATCATCCAGTCGACCATTTTCGCCTACACCGCGCCAAGTCATTTTGGTATCTTCCAAATTTATTTGTACATAATAATTGATCATAAAAAAATTGACAAAATACCACAAATATAACTTATTGCATGTAAAAAATTTAGAAAATATTTAAATTTGAACCACATCCAAATTTATTTTCATATTTGGCAAAAATGGTCGACGAGATAATACATAATTACCGCACATTTCTTCTGAATTACTTCTCAAATTATGGCAACCATTACGAGGTTCATGTCTAAAATTAATGTCTAATTTCAAAATGAAAGAGTGAAATAAAGTAATTTTCAGAAAATTATAAAATGTTCAGAATCACTCCATATTTATTTTTAAAAAAAATAATAATAAAATATACACGGGGTGCATTTTTGATGGGAAAAAAAGTGGCGAACGAGTGGCGACTGTCAGACAATATTTAAATCGCCATTTGGTGTATTTAGTCACCCTATGGCTTGGTGGCGATCGTTAATTTTGGCTCATAGAGTAAGTCATTCAAATTCCCATTTCACTTGAATTTGAAACCTGCATCTTTCATCTAACGTTATTAGGTGCATGGATAAAAATAAGACTTATGCTTACGTTGATGTGGTAAGCTTATAAAAATGATTGAAGATAAGAAATAAAAATAATAATTCATCGTCGTTGTGTAAATTTTGGAATGAGGTCTGGGACAAGGTTCTAATTTAGGGCATTGGCCCGTTAGATAACCAGGTCAGCGGTCTAGTTCTCTCTTTCTGATTTTCTTTTCCTTAATGGTTACCCGCAGGGCTCATAGAGTTCGTAAAGTACCTGAGAGGAGTGATAACTACGATTGGAAAGTATACTTTGTTCTTCAACTGAAAGAAAAAGTCGATCGGGATTAAATTCGATATGCTCCTTGCTGTTTTGTTGGACGTCGTTATAGCTTATTAGAACAGAGTTGAGTAATACATTTCAAGGATTTTTTTTCAAGGGTAAGAGTTTCTATATTTTATAACGTTTTATAAACATGTTTTAAGGATATTTCAGAAACTGAAATATTTAAAGTTTATGATGATACAAATTTTTTTTAGTATATCAACATTCAAAAAATTATTAGCAACGTTTAAGTTAAAAACTATAATGCATTAAATTAGTTAGTATTTTTTTGTTATTGATTAAACTTGCTTCATACATTTTTGATTGATTTTTAAAAATGTATATATCTTTATTCTTGTTGATTATTAAAATGTGATTTGATTTGTTATGTTTATCCATGTTGCTTTTTATTTTGTTGTTCTATTTTTCCAATGTAAAATTATTTGATTTGAAAATCAAAATTTTCTGTTTCTTCTTAACTTTAAAGCTTTCAGTTACCTTAATTATAAGGATAGTTATAAAGAAAAATTTAAAGATAACTATAAAGAAAAATGCATAACAGTTTTAAGTATCTGTTTTTAAAAACTTTCTTTTAACCTAAAACCATTCATTTTAACAATAATAATGAGATTAGAAATACATAATTAAACTAAAACTAATGTTTTATTTAAAAAAAAAATTTTAGCGTTTTAAAAAGTAACATTTTAGGTTTAGAATTTCAAAATGCGTTAAAAATTTTAAACTGAATTAGGATGAAAAATTACTATGATGATTTAAAAAAAGAATTCTCAAATTTTTAATTCATTTTGTACGCAATTCATAAGCCATATTTAAAATACATTATAGTATTAAAAGTAAAAATTTTTAAGTTGAAATAAGCAAAATACACATTTTTATTATTATTGTGACTAGAAAAACTTTAAATTTTAAAGGGTGTGAAATAATTTTAATCTCCCAAAAACATAACATAATGTATACATGTTTTTCAAAATGTTTCTGCGATGTTTTCTATAATGTTCTTTGAAATATAACATTCTGTTTGTAAATAAAACGTGGTTGCGATAGCTTAGAAGAGCAAATGAAAGCTTTAGTTAGATATTGAAAAAAAATTTTTTTTTAGCTATTTCTACGCCTTATACTCCAAATAAAAACTTTTTTGATACTTATTTAGACGCTTCAAAACGCAACTAAGTCTCGTTTCTTAAATCATTACTATGCGTGATGTAATATTATAACAGTGCCTTACTTTATCTCTCAAACAATTTACATTTAAAATGCATTTACATTTTCAAAAATTATGCTGAATTGGCATAAACAAATGTTTTTGTTGCTTGCTTGTAAAATGTAGAACACATCTGAAAATGTAAAGTGTAGTACTACATCATGATAAACGTTTAAATTCATATTACTTACTCATTCCTATAACTTACTCATTAATATGATTATTGCACACTATTAAGAGTTAAGCAATGTGATCGCTTGAAATACCAAGTCCATTAAAGAATGCAATTCATTTGACATTTTTATTTACAATGGCGAAACTTTTTTTTCTCTGGAGAGTTTTGTCCTTCCTCGCTCCATTCTCCAAACCCCGTGTTAGATATAGCTATAGATTTTTTAAAGTAGCATTTTTAGTCTATTTTCTGTCTAAATGTACAAAATTAAAAATGCTATAGATAACAAGTGGTAGCGTAAATGTGGCGACAGGCATCGAGAGGATTTAGGACACATCATCTGGATTAAAATTGCATAGAAACACATGCTGGAAATGTCATCATACGCCGCTAGGGACGCTTCCCCTATTATGATCTGTTTCTTCGTGAGCTTCTAAACAGTTCATAATAGGGGAAGCGCCCCAATCCCCGAACGACGACTAAAAATTTCAGCAAAAAGTAATAAATAAACCCTGTACTTATAGGAACTAAACTAATTTCGGATTTGAAATCCTCTCTCGCCAATTAAGCAAAATAAAGTATTTGTATAAAGGCAAAAAAAAAATTAAAAAAAATTTCTCCAGTGTAATAATTCTTTATATAAAATACGCAATTATTATAATTTTATTTCAAAACATTTTGTTAATAATCATTAACTAAATGAAACTGGACTGGATTTGAAAAGCAATCAACTGTGCATGAAAAAAAATATTTAATTTGCAAAAAAATGACTCGTTTAGAACGTCAAATTTCAAATATGTTTTTCATTCCTAGGGTCTGCATTGCGACCCGCATAGTGTTTTTTACTACAAGTTTAGTAGTTGATAATTTTTTAACTAATAATTAGACACAAATGTTTCAATTTTCACCGTACTTTTCGTACATTTTTCAACACGCCCTTGTAATTTCAATTTTAAGTTCTTAGGTCGTACAGTTTTAACTTTGGCAGAACGAATTTCAAAACGATTTAACGATTTTCATGTTATAAAAATCATGATACGATTTTCATATTACATAAACTACTTAAGAAAGTTAATGAATTTTAATTTAGCAGCATAAGAAAATATATTTTCTGTTCTTTTAGCGATTGCTTTCCAAATATTTGCTCAAAATCTCGAAGTAATAATAATCTTTATTTGTCTGCAATTTACTTTGAAAATAAATTATTCCAGAAGAACAAATGGTGAATAATGACTAAATTAATAATAAGAAATTAAAGTATCAAAACATTAATCTTCATTCACCCTAGCAACAATTTTACCTTGGCCTCAATTAGGCTCAAAATTGGCTCAATATGAGTCCTAAGCGAATATGCATCAAGGTGCCTAGATTTTTTAATATTGGTCCTATATATGACCAATATCTGCCGATTTACAGTCAATATAGGGCATATATTGGCTGAATAATGAATATAAAAATAAAGTGTGAATCTGACAACTCTATATAGGGCCGATATTGGCTGCAAAGTTGCTATTCAGGATCAGGTGATTCGGACAATTCTATATAGGACCAATATCGGAAAATAACGATCCTTTGAATTCTTATTGAGCCAAGATTCGTGAATATTGGTCTGAGTTATTTTGCTGGTCAAGGTATTAATTGTATTCAGCATTGTAGTAATTGTAGCATTATAGTATCAGCATTGTACTGATATCTAAACATATTTCTCAATTACATTTTTGGCAACTAATGTTTAAGTTTTTGGCATAATGTTTGGCATGCTTATGCTTTACATTATGCCAAATTTAATTATTATAACAATAAAACTATATATAGCGATATATATGATATTTAACGATAACGATAAATTTAATTATATAACGATTGCTCGTAATCTAGTTGTTTTTATTCCATTACAGTTGTTAAGTTTGAGGGAATATCATAAATTTACATTTTCAAATTCTTCAATAAAATCAAAAAGTGGCATCCGTAAATGCAGTTTAGTAACCCTCTAATATCTGAACAAATTTCTCAATTACAGTTTTGGCAACTAATGTTTAAGTTTTTGACATAATGTTTGGCATGCTTGTGCCTTACATTATGACAAATATAATTATTATGACGATAAAACGATATATAGCAATATATACGATATGTAACGATAACAATAAATTTAATTATATAACGATAGCTCGTAGTCTGGTTGTTTTTATTCCAATACAGATGTTAAGTTTGAGGGAATTTCATAAATTTACATCTTCAAAAAGATTAAAAAGTGGCATCCGTAAATGCAGTTTAGTAACCCTCTGATATCTAAACATATTTCTCAATTACAGTTTTGGCAACTTATGTTTATGTTTTTGGCAAAATGTTTGGCATGCTTAAGCTTTCTGATACTAAACACAATTAGAGTTTTGATACTTTAGATAGTTCAAAACTGAAATTTTAGTGTTTAGTAAAGATATTAATTAATAAAATGCAAAAATTTTGATTTGCGTTCTCGAAAACTTTATTTGCTTTTTTAATGTTTTAAATATCAGGAATAGCGATCGTTTCAAATTATCAAAGTGAATATATTAGATCTCCTGTTTGTCTATAACCAGTTACCCAATGTAAATTATAACCTTCTGAGACAAAATTGCCATCTGTCGAAAAAATATGATTCTGTTTTTCGAATAAAATAAAATAAAATGTTGCCAATTTTAGAGTGGCCAATAATTTCTCCTCTTTTATGTTGAAAAAAATCTTCTTCAAAATTATAATGTGAAATTTTTTGTTAAAACAAGACTAAAAATGAGACGAATTCTTCTCAGTTACTCAATGTAATTTACATGTTGAGACGAAGCAGCCCATGCCAAGTTGAGACTGTGTTGAGAGAGGAGATAGGAGTTGAGAGAAGAAATATAATTTTCGAGTAATAATTTATAATTTATTTCGAATATCATTTATAATTTTCGACGAGAGGAGGAGTACTTTTTTTTCTTTTCCCCTATCCACAAAACATATTTTCAGAAAGAATAATAGAGTAAATTTCCTCCTTTGTTTGAGGTATTTTACAATAAATAAATAAACAAACAAAAAGAGAAAAAAAATCCTGAAAATGAGACAAAGTTACCCCCACGCAAAGTTCAAATTGTCTCCTTAATGTAATTTCGTAAGTGGAAAACAAACATCTTTTTTTTTTCGACTCCAAAAAAGTATTTTCAAAACAATAATACAAACTTTTTCTCTTATTTAAGGGTTTTTTCAGGGAAAAAAAACTTGACCTGAAAATTAAATAAAGCTACCCCGTCGTTTGATAACTAAAACAAAATTTCTGGGGAATACTCTTTTAAAAATTGCAACACGGGAGGAAATTTAATTTTTTTTTCTGCGTTTCGGTTTCCTTCTTTATAAATATTTTTCAAATGGGTCATCGAGTAAAAAAAAAAAAAACTTTAAAAAAAAAAGAAAGAAAAGCTCCAGGCGAAATAACTCCAAAACCAGTAGACGCATTCAATAAGCTGGTAAGAACGATATAGTACACAGAAATTTCAATTTTATTGTTTTAGTGTTTTTCAAATCTCATAGCAATTAATACGAACTACAAATTCTTCATAATTCTAGATATTAAAATATTTTGAATATTAGTTTTTCGTTCGTAAATTGAGATAATCTTAATCCACCTCATGCGTGCTATTTTCTATTTTAGTTTGAGGAGAGGAAATAGCTTATGCGTTGCTGTTGATTCATTTCACCTGTAGAGTAAGTCAAAAGAGACCTATATATTTTTTTTTATTTTTTATTGTTCGTTGGCCTGATAATTACTGATGCAGTCAAAATAAAAATGCCAAACAACTTACACGTTTTCGATCCACGTGAGTTTTGGAAATGGGGATGGGTGTTGACTGGCACTTTCCTTTTTTTGCTAAAATATATTCGAATTACCTTAACCTCTTGGAAGTGTTTATTTCACCTAATTTTTTTGTCACATTTATTTCCATTACTATAAAGAAAAAAATAGAGGAATGCCAAAAGTTAACACGTTCTTTGTCGTGTGAGCTTCGGGTTAGGCTTAGTTTTTCTTCAAATATACTAAAAACCCCTTGGACTGATTAAATGCGCAACATCGTCACGAAATATTATTTATTTACTTTTTTTCTTATAGTGCTCCATTAATTTTTAATCTCACTATGGAAAAATGAGCAATGGGACTCTTGAGTTTTCAGACCTTAAAAAAATATATTAAGAATAAAAAAATTGGATTCAAATGCTACTAAATTTTCCTTCATCGGAGACGTTTAAACACTAGAATATGCTAAAGTATGTAATCTAATCGGTCTTCCCAATAATTATAAAAATTCATCAATTCCCAATAAATTATGGATATTGATCAATTAGACTACATAAACTTTAGATTATAAAAAATAGTTCGTAAGGATCCATTGTGAAATCCTACAAACCATTTAATTAACTTGAAATGCTTTACAGAAAAAAAGGAAAGAAAAAGAAAAAAGAAATAAATTAAACTAAAATAATTGAATTCAAATAATTGAACTCTTACTTCATTTTACAAAATTGGCAAAATTCTGTTTGAGTCATAATTTTTGTCTTTTTCTTTTTTTTTTTACATTTTAGAAATTTAAATGAAAAAAACTATCGATTGTGGGTTATAAAAATTAAAAAAAAACATGGTTAAAAAAATTATGGTTCAAAATAATCTAACTGTGTATGATTTTTTGTGGCTTTTATAATGAAATATTTCAATAGAAATACAAATGTAAGAAATTATAAGATATTAAGTTATTAAATTATTTTAATCATTATATTCATAATTTTCAAAATAATTCATAATATTTTTTAAATACACACTAGTAATTAGCTATAAGCTTTTGTTTTGATGATATTGAGTATTTGTACCTAATCACATGGTAGTGTCTAATTATGTGGTTATGTATGCCGTTTTAACGTTACAGCTTCAAGCCTTGGGCTTATTATCCCACTGAATAATTTTTCGGATCAGATTTTATTGGATGACTGCAAGTGACGTCATGCATGTGCGTTATGGTCAAACCCGATTGACTGACTTATTCATAGCATTGCTTTCAAACATCCAATTGATTATTGTTACCCCATTATATATATATATATA